TGCGGTCATCTTGCGGAGCAGGCTTATTTACCTACCTGTCGTCGCAGTTTTGATACAAAACATGTTAATGGTGTCTCTCAAAACGATGGAAGATTGGGGTGCTACCGAGAAGGCTTTGTTGCGTAGCCAATATTTTCTTAAACCGGACCATCAACTCTGATACTGGATCATTATTACTTCCCAAGATACCAGGGACTCTTGGTATATTATCAACCAGCAGCATGACGTAATCGGCGACTTTTTTCTCAAGTTCCCCATGTTTCACATCTTTTCACAATTCTTTCACAACGCCATACCTACAACAGCATGCTCTGTTTTGCTCCGGGTATCCGGTGACCTGAAGCTACCTTTGAAGCTTGTTGGTGATAGACTACATAGAAACTCACTGCCTCGCGCCTTTAATTTGTTTTAACTGCTGTCCCATTAAATATAAGGTTTCATAATTTATGCCATGTGCTTTCTAGCTAATCCTATACGTGTTATCTTTTAGCATTTAGCGAGGGATCCTGTTGTGCGAGTCTGAAATACGGTTTCGTTATTTTAATTTTTTTAATTGATATCCTTTACAATAATTCTGCAGAGTCCTAAGCTATCCATCTATTACCAGCCCGGAGCCCGCTTCTCTCGCCATCCTTTGTTGTTAATGGCGACTCGGGAAGTGACGTATGCTCTATTTGTGGTCAGCTTCCACAAGGAATGTGGTATATGGCTTAGACCGTTATGACCGGCAGTGGGTGAGCATGCGTCAGCCAGCTTCTACCGCGCTATAATTGGAGCCCGCGCACGATATGAGGTGCGGCTGCTGTGTATAATCACCACCATGGGCAATCACCGTCAGTGTAATGTGACCGGACCTCAGGGACGAGTCCGCCGGCCGGCGGCGGCGAGATGGGGTCACGCCATAGGCAGAGTGCTGCTGTTTCCCAGGTGGAAAATAGCCGGCTGGGCTGTCCCACGTTTTTGTCAAATGGTTTTCAGAAGCTGGTGTGTTCTCTGCCTTGTAAAGTCTCGCGCCGAGTGAGCCTTACTTGTTGCTGATTGAGTAGTGCAAACGCGAGGCTTTAAAACGACCGCATCGAATGACGCAAAAACGGGTAAAAGTTGACGTCAAACTTCAGAACTTTAGGACATTTCGGAGCTTACCTAGAAGTTATGAATTTGAAGGTGACTCAGTTATTCAAGGTGTGAGTTAATTCAACTTGCGCTTGTGAACAATGCAAAGATATGTGCTGTAAATCAATATGAGCCATCTAGAATCGGCATTCTGCGACAATTGATACACTGCGGTTCATAAGCATCAGTCATTTTAATTTGACGGTATGTATAAGGTCATAGCTTGCGAACACCTTGATTAACTAAGATGGTTATTTTCTGTTAAATAATTTGCCTTGGCTGACAGACGTCACTTAAATTTGAAACCATTCGAAAAGTAGATGTCAGGGTCGGATCGCAAAATATTCCCCTTCCCCTGTAAGCCAGTGTAGAATTTTTCCGGTATTAGCCTGGAAAATCACAGTTAATGAAATCTGCTAATTTTTCATCCTGGCTCATAATTTTCATCTTTCAACACAAATGCACCAAATCCTTATTCAAATCGGTTAAAATGTCCCAAAATAATGTTAGAAGGTTAAAAACTGCACCTATCATGAAAACCACAAAAAAATATACATGATAAATTATACGCACCTTCCTTTCCAATCAGCAATGATAGTAATGACACATGGAAATATCTCAGCACAGTGTATGTATCATGCGCTTCGTGATTGCCTCGATTAAAAAAAGAAACAGAACAATAAAAAGGTGTAGGTAAGTGCAGATAAATACACTCGATAATACAATATTATCAATCAAATAATGTCTAAAAATTAAAATTAAATTAATTTATTGCTTTTGTATAAACATTCTCTGAAGAATTGCATTAAACTAGTTCTACAACTGAATGATGAAATTAGGATGAAAAAGCATTAAAAAGGCCAGGCTGAGGATGAAATTTTCCAGGTAACCGCGGGGATCTCTCACGCCCTCATGAAGTTTCCAAATCATCTGCTGTTTGGATTAGCATGTTAAATGGATCGTTCTCCATGTTTGCTGAAGATATAATCGAAAAATATTGAATATTAGGGAAATTATAGCTGTTTTCTTACAGAGTGTCCGAGGATGAAAAATTCTTCGATTTTTTGTCACCAGTCGAGAATGCTTGTAGGGAGTCTAGTCAATATTTTTATGACTGTAGTGCATTTTTTAGAAGATAAGACACTGGACTTCGTTATAAGATACATACAAACTCTTAGATTGCTGTTGATATAAAAATATTGCCTTTCGAAAATGAACAAAAATTTCATCCTCGGACTGGTGTCCAGGCTGCAACATGGACGCAATCCATCTCATGATTTGATGAAAGATATGGCAAATACTATACATATGTGACAGCCTCGATCATTTTTGAACTGTGTGGTGCAAGTTTCTTCCGATTTGATGCCATGCAGGCTGGGTAATGTCTCGAGGGAAATTGCACCTCTTACGGTGTCGGGGGCCGGGTTCGGTTTAATGCAACGCAATTATTTAGTAGCCGCATTTGCTGGCGCCAGCGTGACAAACTACGGCGCAAACAACGCGTCGCGTGCCTTCCGTTTTCAGAGAGGGTAATGTCAATCATCAGGATATATATAAGCAACGTAATGATAATGCGTCGCTGGGTAGCTCTCTGAAACCTGGTAGGTATTTTTATTTTCAGAATTATTTTAATTTTACATTGTGAAGAAGTTTTTCACCTTCAACTCGAGCACTATCCTCTCTGATCAGAGAAGATGGTGCTGACTGTTGCCCATAACTTGTGAATAATGACCATGGGTCCATACTGATACGATGAAATTTTAGCCCCTGCGCCTCCAGCCCTCCACCCTCAGAAAATGGTTGCCGCCATGTACGTTTTTATAACGATGTTTCTATGCCATCCATCATTGTGAGCTGGATAATGGTTCACACCATTTACACCGTGACGTAATTCACGTTGTTATTCTTTTCATCATAGCACCCGTTAGTGTAAAAATCATCATTGCATGTTAAGATCGGTCAATTTTTTTCATCACTGACTGGTAAAAAACAAAACTTTTTTCATCTGCACAGGTAACGGTGAAGTAAAAATTTTACACTGCTGTAAGCTGTGTTGAGAAAATACACAGTGAGGTGCGGTCTAACTTTGGGCCAAGTAAATATTTTTAAAGCAAAGAATTACCCGGTTACATCGCATCCGGTCAAAATACCTACGACCGCATGAAATGGCTTCAGTTGTGATAAACTCGGAATATGATGTGATATGTTATGGCGCATGCGTCGCATAATGCCACTTGCGTTCATATTCACGTTCGGTGAGCTATGGCTAGACTCCGGAAGCCAGGTGCCGTAGATGGCGCTCATTCTCTCCTTGATGCTGTTTGGCGACGAAGCTACGTCGTGTGTGATGCATTGCTGCCTGTTGTAAAATTTTGCTTTGTTAGTGCTCTTCTAAGATGGTTCCTCTGCTTTTAGCTAAATTGAACCAGAATTTCTCATTGAGGCTGCGTTGCTTTATATCGCTGAGGCGTAGGTAGTGTGCCGTGTTTTATTCTGAGGTTTAGAGGCAGCCCGGCGGGCACTACAGTGGCCGTATTTTGAGCGCTGGACCGCTCGGTGCGGCGGCGGCCGTAATGCGCCACCGTTTGTCACTGCGCCGAGTTCGCCACTGGCGGCGGTCTGCGCCAGAGTCCGTGAGCAATGGCACTCACTAAAACACCGGGCCGCCCTCAGGCCAATTACACACGTGCCACCGCTCCGGCCCACATCAGAAAACGATGGCCGGCCCTATCTGCGCGGCGGCCACCCAGCTGCACGGCCTGCCCTGGATTCTCGGTCTGGTTACTTGGCCTTGATTCGACTGCTCTCGTCATTCCGAAAAAAAATATTGCTAGTGCCTGAAGAATCTGTAAAATTATATGGCTCAATTCCTTCATTTTGGTATTAGCTTATGCATCCATATGACGTGAACTGATAACACCGTATTATGCTAACTTATTTTATTCTCTGAGAAGTCTGTCGATAGGTTCGGTTTGAATACTCTGAAACGAATGTAACGATTTTTTCCAGAAAAGAATAAGAATGTAATGCTATTTTGATACATCTAACGCATGTAAATTGTGGCAGTTTTTCCGCTGTTTTTATCAAGGATTGTGTTGATATCTTGTGTCGAAAGCATGCGAAGCATGTTGTGGGTTTATGTCACCTAACCAGAGAGCACTTTAGCCCGATCCGAGAGCACCTTGTGCTTTCACTGCTTGCCGGCGAGCGTAAACTTGAGTGGCAGGTCCTCTGAGAGTCGCTGGGTGGGCGGTGCTGGAACATACGACGGGTATGGTTACTGCCGCCGGGGTCGGAATACCGCTCCGCTCCGTCCGGGTGCCGGCTCGGCTGAAAGTGGTCGCTGGGAAAGGCGGTGGTGGTTGTAGGTTCGAACCCGTCTACTCCGGTACATTTGTCGTTACACCGTTACGCTTGCGTTGCCGCCACACTTGTCGTTATTGTGAGGCGATTACAGTTTTATATTTTAATTTGTAGGTGATCTTAACGAAACACTTTTTACTACTTGCAACTTTATCGCTTTGGACACGCTGTTCTAGTTAGTAAGCTAAGAGGTGTTCAACTTGTAAGTTGTAATTCTGCTCTTATCTGTGCTTTGTATTTATTTATTCAATACCCGTCTCATCTCAGTCTTTCTCGCGGGGCTGCCGGCTGGGTTTTGTCCTATCATGTCCCGAGCCCACTCTTACTTTTCAGAATCCCAACAGCGGCCGCGCTGTTGTGTGTTTTTTGCCCTCCCCGTGCCTCTCCCTCTGCAATGCCGTCTGTGACCCTTTCCGTCCCTCCCTCCGCAGTGTCCCGACTGTGCCGTGTGTGACCATTTCCGTCCCTCCCTCGGCAGGGTCCCGACTGTGCCGTGTGTGACTTTCCCTTCCCCCTCTCCGCAGGGTCCCGGCCTGCGGCTGTGGTACGGCGCCCTCGACCGCTACGTGGGCAGTCGCGGGGCGCGTATAGTCATCAGGAAGGTGGCGCTCGACCAGGGCGTGTTCGCTCCCATCTTCCTCGGTAACTTCCTGGTGGTGCTGGGCGCAATGCAGGGCCGAAACTGGTCGCAGATCAAGCTCAAGATGAAGGAGGAGTACAGCGACATCCTGTTCAACAACTGGAAGGTGAGGTGGCCCACCAGTCTTCATTGGCCCTCTGTAGGCGTTTAGGGATGCAACACTGTGGTCATACTTTTCGTTAGAATGAATACCTATGAAAGAATTGTTTAGTGATGATCATGAGATGGTTTCCGGCTAGCTTGAAGTGCACTACGAGTTTTTTTTTTTTTTTTGGCGCTGGTCTTATATAATTTTTGTAGGCGATCCCAAAAAGTACCTTCGTAATTTACGGAGTGGCGGGAGTTCCCTTCTCCGATGACTTTTGTGTCGACTTTATTACGTCGACCGTCACATGCTACGCAAACAAATGCCTGCGTGATTTTCCTTTCACTGCCACGCTTCTTATTACGGTCGCGAACGTGGGTAACAAACGCAGAGTATTGATATACAATTGACATTGATAGACTAGATCCAAGAAGAGGCATGCCGTAAGGGAATAGATTGGGTCACTAACCAAATAAAATGTCGATTGTTTGCGGCTTCCCGCTGGCCGTTCTCGGATTACGGAAATGTCAGTGGTTCCGTGATGTGACTGAGAGACGGCCACGGGTGGCTGTGTTGGTGCTCGATGCGGGTCTTCCTTACCAGAGGGACTGGCCTAGCGACTGATGCACCGTTGCGCACGGACCGTTGAACTGGCTTCCTCTGCGTGTGCGTCCTATACTCCACCGGATTTTAGCATTCCGCCCACTTCGGCCGTAAAAGGAATGCTTTCTCAAACCAAAGAAACAAACTAAGGTGCATAAACCTGACCTGCGTGACTGGTGTCGTAAGTCTTCCAAAGACAATACCAACGGGACGTCGACCTTCTCGTTCGCCGTGTCACGCGTTCTGGTCCATTTACGTGCATTTTCGTACGCGTGAAAGCTGCGTCCATTCGTAGCACGGAACACCTCGTCGTTGTTTTTTAATCCTTAAATGCGTGACGGTATCTATTATAACTGCTCATTGTGCGGATAGAGTGTATGCTAGGTCTCGCACAGCGGTTGATCAGTGATAACTCTCATATTTGGCGGTGTTTGAAAAAAAAAATATTAATGTTATTTAGCTTTGTCTATAAATACACGTGTACTTGACATAAAGCATATTTTTTAGCTGTATCCTTGCAATCTGTGGGCAGGACGTCGCTCGAAGTCGAGTCCGTCCCACTCAGCTCAACTTGCTCACCGCCAGAGCTGAGGTTGAGGTGCACTCGGTCCGGTCGTCCGGTTGAACACCCCCTGGGGTGTCCTCACCAGTTAGTGCCGCCGTGATTACTCTCTGAATAGACGGCCGTCTTTGGCGGAGATGCTTCTCGAGGATCAAGCCGACTGGTGGGTTACTGTCGAGGGCTGTTGATGGCGAACTTTGGTACAAAGTGTCCTATCAGTTGCCACTTGAACCGTGTCGAATAGGTCACCTAGCCAAAGCTGCTAAAGGAATGACTCGGAACATGCACAATGCACAATGCAGATTTGAACCGTGGTACTTGCACTCTTGTTCGGAGAAACGGTGAACGGAGCTTTGATCAGGCGAATTAAGACTAAAGTGTAATTAAACGGATTTAGTTATATTGCATTATGAGTTGGTTTTCTTATCTGGAAGTGGTTTTCCGACGTGACGATTCAAATGATTGTTTCCACAGAATATGTGGCAATCGTTAACTGACGTTGTTCCGTTTTACGTTCTCGGAATGACTAGAGGCACTGTAACTGTGAACTTCGTAACAAGTCAGTTCCAGGCCAGTCATTTGTTGGTTAAGCTTTTCGTGTGTTTAATTTCTGTCACCTCGGTCACGGTGGACGTAAATTTGTCATATACAGCCATTGCTATGTTACTGTCGCTTGCATTAAATTAAATCAAACAGTTTAATTCCGTAATGTATGTTCATTGTTCAAAGCATATACATTTTATAGACATTTTCTCTCGGCTGGTGTATAGTCGTTTAATGTTTTCGTTTCGCTTACATTTTTTGTGGCTTTGAACATGAAGTGGAATGCGTGTTTTCTTCTCGAATCACCAAGCAATAAAGGCTTGCATACGTGAATTGAATGTCATAATTCCTTTTGATATTTAAAATATCCAGCGCAGTTCCGGTTACATCAGTCCATATGAATTTTACTTTCTCAAATGCAGCTTCTTTGAGCCCAAATATAAACTCGGTCAAACATCAACGCTATCCGAGACGTGCTAACTGGTCTCAACGGGTCCTGGATATTGGATAAGTCATCTTAGGTGTACCACATGTGAGTGTCGTAACTCATCCCTTCTGCTGGCATTATTATATTTTAAGCGCTTATTCCACTTCGGAATTGGGTAGACCAAATTCGATTATCCAGGCCGGTTCCTAGCAACAGAGGTAATAAATCAATGAAGAAGTAGAACGCACCTCGGAAACTCTGCCTTAAGTTTAAATTGCTTCGTGGGAAATTCGGAAACGTATGAGTTCTAGTTACATCGCGTTGTTGTATTAATAGGGAGTCAGTTAAAATTTTTAATTCATTCATGTGCACATCAATTATTTCATTTTGAATGCGCACATGCCGTCGTCGATGGCGGCATCATAAGATGCTTTCCCATGTGCAGCCCTTTTCCCTTTCGTAACCGCGCCCGCCCCGGTGCGGACGATATAGCTCTCTATCCGTCGTACTGAAACGTGTCGACAGCAGAGCAGCGTCCCGTTTTCTGAGGTTTGTTGTGCGCTGACGGCGGAACACTGTTTTGTTGAGTAGTCAATTTTGTTCTACTCTACTGTGCCGCGATCTGGTGCCATATCATCTCCCCTATCATTTTCATGTGTTGTGCACTCACGGCAGAAGGCCCTCAGTTTCTGTTGTGCCGTGTTGCGTGCTGAAGGCAGAGCAACCTCATGTTAAAGTTATTTGTGCTGTACTGTGTACTGACAGCAAATTGCCCTCCCTTCCCCATGCAGTGTTGTGTGCTGGCAGGAGACCCTCTCACAAATCCTGCTGGTACGGTCTGCGTTTTGACACCTCCGCCCTCTGTTCTAGCTATGGCCAGCGGCGCAGCTCGTCAACTTCTACTTCATCCCGCTGCACCATCAGGTGCTCTTCGTCCAGACGATAGCCATCTTCTGGAACACCTACCTGGCCTGGAAGGCCAACAGTAGCACAATCAGTGAGGAGAAAGAGGCGGCGCCCTGACAGTGGCCTGTCGGGGTTAGTAGTGGCAGCGGGCCGGGAAGGGTGGGTGGTAGACTGTCTAGTGTCTGTGGATGACAGTTGAACTGTCATCGTCGGCGGACCGGGTTGGGTGGGTAGGTGACTGTCTGGGTGACAGTTGTCATCGTCGGCGGTTCGGGCCTGGTAGGTGACTGTCATTATATGACAGTTGAACTGTCATTGGCAGCGGACCAGGCCGGTTAGGTAACTGCGGCACATGAACTGTCATTACCAGCGGCCGTGTCGGGGTGACTCCCTACGCCCGGCGCCCGCATGTCGTGCCTGATGCAGAGGGAGATTATCCTGGGACGTCGGCGCGTACGCTGCTCAGATGGTTAGAAAGACGCGCCGAGGGACGCTTGGGGGATGAACGAGCTGGCGTGGGCCGGGTGAGTGGGTGGGTACTGATGCGGGGCGCACACAGACATAACACCCGCGCTGTGGAGATGACTGGGGCGGCCGGGTGATGTGGTACCCCGTGCAGCGTTATTGTGACGTTCAGGGGCTGCCCGACAGTTACGAGCTCAGTGCTGACGGTCTATGGCCGGTGCACAGAATCAATGCAAGGGTTACAGCGCGCTGTCACATAATATAGATGTGACTGCTCGTTCCTATGAGGGTGAAATTGTGCACTGTCGTTGAATTTGGGATCATACTGGTGCGTAAGCTGCTGAGTCAATATTTAAAGTTATTGATTTAATACAACGATGGTAACTGTTGATCAGTGCTCGGCACATTCACATTGAGCAGACAGATCCTCTTCAAAATCGTACGTTGAGAAGCATTGCAAATGCTTTAAATTCACATTGATAAGGGTGTTGCCTGATATTGCTAAGCATGGCTTCATGGATGGGCTCAAAAATGATTGCCAGGATTTTTCGTATCACTCCTACGATCCGAACCTGAGAGTATGAAATCATAGATAACAGTAGAACTGGATTTGACACGAAGTTCGATGAACTGCAATAGGGGACCCCAAAATATGATGTATCTTTTGGCAGCAGTTGAAAAACTGAAAAAGCACGTGCATTATGCCTATTTACCAGTGAATCCATTGACCTATAATAAGTACTTATTATAGGTCAATGAGTGAATCTCATTGGAAACGGCCACAAAATTCACAAAAAATTGCGACATTTCGGTTTTAAACGTTTTGCTATGATTTTGTTGATAGCTTCAGTTTTACATTTATTTCATAATTTTACCAAGTTTTGCCTTTGTTTAGCACAGCAATGGCTTGAGAGTGAAGTTCTCAGGGTGCCATGAACCTAGCTGCAGGCGAGCTCAGCAAACGTCTGGAAGAAGTTGCGAAGAGCCGAGTATCAGTGCATTGAGTCAACCTATCCCCTTTGTGGGTCACCTTGTGACTGAGCAGACGCTACTTGCTACTGTGAATTGTGACCAAAAAGCTTTCCGAAGTAAGACAAGTAAAGTCTTTCTTACTCATACTGATCGACCGCGCCTACCAACTCCTATAATCTGAGTTAGTGGAGCGCGTCGTCTTCACTAGCCTGACCTACGTGACCACTGACCGTGGTTCAAAAGCTCATCCCTCACCAGCAGATAGGCTGTGGCGGGATGTATGTACGATCTGGACTTATCCAGTGGACTTACAGTGGACTTGGTACTTACAGTGGACTCAGAACAGAAAATCACCAACGAAGGTACGGAAGCCTTACTGGTGCTGCTGGGAGACAAATCACGCGAGCTGTGAGGCGACGCTGGCTCTCTCTGCTCAGGGTACGGAACGGGGCTGATCGTTCCTCGTGCTGGTCAGCACTGCACCGACGTGCAGTTGGTCATCTGAAAGCTGCAGATGGGGGGCTCACGGCACAGAGAACGCATCATGTAATCTTGATTTCAACTTGTCTGTTGGAGTTGAAGCGAGTGATTGCACGCCGATTCTGCACTGTGGATACCACCCCAAAGCGGTTACCGGGGAATGAGCGCCTGGAGCAGCTTTCCACAGACGTTTCTGCAGCTTCAAAGCAGCTCTCATCCAAGAGGATGTATCTGACCACATTGTCATAATATATGCTGAACAGCGATAGGAGACCCACGTGCCTGCGCCATTGCCCTGTCCGTTAGCTGGCTGATACCTCACAATGATGGAGGAGTGTCTTCCACCGCCTCGCGCGCTGCTAGAAAAGGGCGGACGCAGTGGGAACCAGCCAAGAGTGACCGAGGACACTGACCTGGCTTTGCACAGTATCTGTTCATCCGTCACCGGAATTCATCGAATGTTACGACTACGAATACAACATGAACTGCAATGGCGCATTGAAGTGCCTGCAAGAGACCGGTTGTCTGAATCACGTTTTGATGCGATCCCCGACGCTGGTGATGGTGCGGCGCCGCATCTTTGGTCTCATCTTCCCTCCAATCAGTGACGTGAGGCAGCACGGTTTAGTGACGGTGGCGAGGGCCGTCAGATGCCCCCACGCGCCTCTAAGACTATTCAGCTGGCTGCCTCAAGCAGGAGGCCATGAGCCCATGAGCGACCGTCAGCACGCTTTGAAGTATGGAAAAGGGCAGACTGGCTGAAAAAGGCAAGTCAACTGAACAATTGATACACTGTTAGCCCCGTAAGGTTGGCCTCCCTGTGTCACCAAGGCACACGGATCACAGGTGCCCTACGACGTGATTCTAAGAGCCGCATGCAGGCTGGTAAGGCCCAAACAGAGATGAGCTGAGCATACTGGACATGGTGGCTGTATAATTATTTTTGGTTGTTTATCTAAACATGCTGGTTATTTAATATATGTCGGAAAAATATAACTTCCAATACACAGGCCTGATTGCATGAAGTGGCGCAATTAGTGCTATATATTCAGGAAATAAATTTCGCAAATATATATTAATGAAAACTGCGATATATACACGTATATTTTACTTGGGACTGGACCGTTCATTTCAGAGGAGAGGCGAAAAGGCCCCTGTGGACACCACTCACGAGGCACGTGATTCCGACTTGTGGCCTGGGCACCTCACACATGAATAGCCAATAGTAGTGAATGAAGCGGGGCCAATGGGGCTACTCATAGCAGAAAACCGCATGCCTCTGAGACATGCGGTTGCGTTCCGAGGCTGATCGATATCATTGACATTTTTGGGTCCCCTACTGCAGATAGGCAGTTTTCGTGTCAAATCCAGTTCTACTGTTATCTATGATGAAATGTAACGAAGCTGATACTTCAAAGTGTAGGTTATTAGTAAGACCATAGCGTCCGCTGGCTTATTTCTCCACATAACCTAGGTCACAGTGACCCTTAGCTCGATTTTTTGAGAGGGTGTGAATGGATGTAGCTGGTTTTCGAAATTTATCATGCGTAGTGTGCATAATGCGATGCCTACAAGACACGGGTCACAGCTTCAGAGCTGTTCGCCGGGTTCCTGAGCGAAGGATTGACAATCATTGACACTTGCAGATCTGTTATTGACATAAGAAATATGTGCTGGGTTTATCTTTCTTACTGGATATCCTGCGTATGTCACATTTGCATTGTCTTGTATCGTTTTAATTCAATGGTTTCAAAAACATGGTGATGTTTCGTTTTTATACCGATGCATTAATATTGTACCGGGTTTATTGAAAATATTATTTGACAGTTATATCCACAAAATGAATGTGTTTCGCTGTAGGTATGTTGGTTGCGTAGACATTCAGGAAACCTTGGTGAATATTTTAGTAGAAATAATGGGCTTTGTGTTAAGACTGAATGACGCATTGCTGGCAGCGTGTGCAAGTGCGATGACATTTGTGTGATTCTTTGTTTGAAGCTGGGCGAAATACGCGCAGCTCTTTTTGCAATACATTGAGCGACCATTAATGTCATTTTGCTGTAGTGATACGTAGAAACAGATTATTGAGCTACTTGTTAAATTGATTTGATTTGTGGTCTGCACTCTGCAGTATCGACTGAACTTGAGCTGAAGCTTCGTGGTTTGTTTTGCACGTTTATTTCATTCCCTCAGGCTTCCTATTTTTCCGCTTTCTCTCGATAGGCGAACCCTGAATTTGTGCATCTGGCACTTAATCTGGTTCGGTCTGGATAATGGAACGTAATGGAAATGGAAATGGAGCATCTGGTCTGGATAATTGAGGCGTTTTTTTCCATAATTACCTTTCCGCTTAAAATGGCCAACAATATCAAACCCTGAATGTGAAGACACAACATGCGAAGTCAGCTATGATGCTCATCCATTCATGTTACGCATATCACCAACATAAACATAAACACCCATAGTTGACTTATAAGTGTTTATTCTAAACGCTACGTTCTCGGAAGAAAACGTAGGCCAGTAACGTCCGCTCTGCCGCTCAATAAATAGGTAGTAGGTACGCAAGTACATCGCACACAGTCGAGGATGGAACAGATACACTGTGAACTCGATACCTTCTTCGGAGAACACCAAGTGGTCTCAGGCTAACAGCAGATGGTTGCGGGGAGACCAAACACGCGGAATCGAGCTGGAGTCAACTCGTGTGATACTTTTAGAAGGAGTTTCTATCAAGTGTATACTGTATATCCTAGAAAGGATGCAAGCCTGTTTTCTAGTGTCATCGAATCAAAAAGCCATTTGTGTTAACATTCACTGAGACGTACAGATATTTCATATGAACGTCGTATATAGTTATTGCCATTTTTGTTACACTGCTTATCAAGCTAACATAAATACCACGCAATTTTTTATGACAGAGGCAGAACAACATGAAAATGTTCAAGCAGCCGCTGCCGCGAATATGTTTAATCCATTCAACACATGCGGTTCTGTTCTGAAGTGATTGTCATGACTGTCGCTCCTGGTGGACTGCTGCTTCTCTGACAGGCTGTGAGACGGCTGTTTTCTCTTCTGTCGACTGTCGGACGGCCCGCTGTCCCTGCTGTCGACTGTCAGACAGGAAGACCCTCAGTCCAGCTGTAATGATGGTCTCAGACGAACCGGCCGCCACGCTCCGAAGACTGTGCACGCCGTCAATATGATAAAAATAGACGTCTTCTCCAATCCCAGGACATGAGGCGGAAAGATGCTGGCCGATGTTACGGACGACGCTACTTCGTGTTGAAGCGTAGTTTGAGATCATCTTATGTACCTGAAAGAGAAAGACAGGTCAGGCAAGCTGGAAGCATTTTGTCAAATACATGAATGGGGCCTGATTTTCTTTTGAACTCGTTATTGGAAGCTGATCAAGCGGCTTTATGTTATCGACCTTATCTGGTCGTTACTTGGTGTTATGCTTATCGCATTGGTGTTATATTGTAGGTTTTTCGATGACTTTATAGTATTTGTGGATAGTTACAGCACCAAAGCCCTTTGGAATTCGTACCTAGTTTTGCAGTTGGCTGATTTCGACTTCTCTCGAACGTTTTGTCGTTTCATCGGTCGAGCAGCGCATCACTGAGGAAGGAACACACAATCGTCACAAACATGAAAACGGAAAAATGTGTAGTGGATTATCATGAACATCGTCGTTTATCTGGAACTACATACGAACTTTTAATGAGAATAAAGAACTGAGCAAAATCCGCTCACCTGACTTGGATGAAGTCTGCAGAAGACTGGCGCTCGTCGGCCACGTACCGGTCGGCCGTCCTCTTACCAAGCTTGTGCAGAATCTCCGAGTTGGCGTTAATCTGTCAAGAGCATATTTGCTTTAGGTACTACTGATGGTGCACTCTGGGATATTCAAGTCGATCTACATGATAATGAGCTAGAATGTTGTTCGCAGGTTAGAATTCAAGCTCGCCTATTTAAAGAGACATGGTGATATTGGACTGCATTTTGCGCACATCGTTCGCTGCGTTACGTGACTGTCAACCCGCGCGGGGCTGGGGGGGGGGGGTGTAAATTTTACCCCCCCTCGCGAATTTTTGCGATATCTCAAAAACGGCGGCGCGCAGCGCCGCCA